ACCACTGCTTTGACTCGTGGTATTTCTTGTTCTCTGGTGTCTTCCATTACAAAGTACCATTGAATCCATAATTTGGAAACAACAGGAATTTATATCAAAATGTTTTAGAAAGCAGAAGTCTGTTTTCAGGGTGGCCACATGTATTGGGTCTATTGAAGAACCTCTTACAGTTGGAGACTAACTCCATTAGGATGATATGCACACATCTCACACAAGCATTCAATACATAGCAGCCTTAGAAGAGACAAATATCTATATAAACAATAATGACATGTGTGCCAATGTTTACTGCTATAAGGATTTAGAAAATGGCATTAATAGGTTCTCCTCTAGGGTCTGTGACCTCTCCAGAAAACAGGAAGTTAGCTAGTTTTAGTACTAGGCATGAATTCCCACCTATTGAGTGGACCTATTAGACAGCTATTGGTTACCCCTGAGATAAATATGCCACTGTTGTAATACTGAGGGTATCTTGTAGGACTGGTCATTATTGTGGCTTGTGACCTATATACAACTAGATAGGATTATTGATTTTTTTTCCTTGGCAGCTTGCATAGCACCTTTGGATACTATAAGAGCTGGTCCACTCCTTGCTCTATAAACAAGGATGGGTCCTGGAGTAAATTTATGAGCTTCCTGATTACTGTTTCATGAAACACTAAACTAAACTTCTCCCTTTCAAATTCATGGCCTCTTTTTTCATTAATTGTTGTTATATACATATGTGTATATACATATATATTCCTAAATACACAGATACGGCTTGCTCAGTCTGCCTAATGTTTCCTGTATGTAGTTGTTTCTAGGGATGACTCTGGTGTTGGATAATTTGTTGGTGTGTTCTTCCCTGAGCAAGACTGAGCTTCTCACTAAGCTGCCTTTGTGGAGGGTTGAGATGTGCTTTCCCCATCCACGTTAGCATTCTGTTGTTCTTGTTCAGCTCATGGTCGGATAGTCCTGTTGGTGAGACTTCATGGGTGTAGGTTCAGATGTTACCAGGAGGCACAGTCTCACAGCCATCTTCTTCTTCTGCAATGTTCCCTAAGTCTTGGGTGCAGGAGTTGTGTTATAGATGTATCTGTGGGGACTGGGCTCCACAAATCTCCATTTTGGTTGGTTGTGGTTTACTAAAATAAGTTTTATCTCTTGGGTGGGGGGAAAGTTCCTAGATGCTAAGTGAGGACACTTATCAGTGGGGCTAAGGACAAGTATTCAGAATGTAGTTAGGGACTATGTTTTTTAAATCGGTGGTTGTGGTTTCTCCCCCAAAATTTGGGACTTCACTAGCCCTGGTTAGTTGGCTGTGTTTCTGGTGTCAGACATGATTTCCCTGTTGTTGAGTCTTTATCCAATCAGAAGACTGGTGGTTATGACGAAGTATTTATGCCACTACTGCACCCTAAGGGTTATCTCAACATGTTTGCCCTTGTTGCTGTTCAAAGGTGTCATAACTGGGGGTAGGACTGTTTTTTACTTCCCTTCTTTAGAACCTTGAGTCTTATTATGATATAGTCTCCAAGAGAACTAGCAATCAAAACTTCCTGTGTCCTCAAGCATCTCTTTGAAGGAAAAAAAGAAAATTTATTGGAATGGTCAGATATATTGACAAACCCAGAGTCCTAGTGGGAAATACGTTTACACTCCACTATTCACAGGTCAAGTGAGAATCTAACTCCTCAGAAAATCTTTCAAAGTTTTCAGATAGCACATTTTGTTATCAACAGTAAGTAAAAAATTTGGCATTTTAAAAATATGTAAGACATAGTAGAAATATGACACTCTGTCACACACAGAGCAAAAATAAATTATCATAATGGGGAAAACAGAATCTTCAGTTTCTGCTCAGATATAATGAAATTAGAAATAACAAGGGCCAACCAAAAATAGCCACCCTTCAGAATTTGGTAATCACATTTTTAATTATTCTCATATTAAAAGGAGATGGAAATTGAAATTATAGACTTTGTGGACAAGAGTAAAAATGAGTATCTATAAATCAAAAGCAATAGGGTTTGACTCAAAGAATAATTGTTGGAATATTTATGTCCTTAAATACATTTATTAGAAAATATAAAATACTAATAATAAAAATGTTTAAAAGAATAGCATAAATTTCAATAAAGTTATTTTAAGTCGAATTGGAAGAAAATAATATAGAAAAGTAACAGCCCTTAATAATGAAACAAAAACTCCAAGTTTTGAGTTCAGCAAAATATGTGGTTCCGAGGCTCATCCATTTTTAGAAATAAAAATATTAAGCATAAGAAGAAATTATTTCAAATCTGAGTATTTTTTAATTATAGGAAAATCTTACATGGGATTTTGTGATTTATTTTTAAATTATAATTACAGTATTTTCCTCCTCCCGTTTTCTTCTTCCATCTCCTCCACTGCATTCCCCCTTATTCTCACTCAAATTTAAGACTTCTTTTTCTGTATTTGCTGTTGTGCCTATAGATATATTCCTAAATACACAAATACAACTTCCACAACCCATATAATGTTATCTGAGGGTTGACCACATGTTTTGGATAACCTGGGGAAGACCCTTTCTCTGTCTCTCATCATTCTCCATTTGTCTAGTGTTGAGACCCATGAGATATTGTTCCTATGTTAGCATGTCTGTTGGTAGTGTTGTTGTTCAGGTCTTGTTTATATATCCATGGTGATGAGACTTCTTGGGTTTAGCCTTTCTGAAATTTCTAGAAAAACAGTCTCACAGAAAACCTCCCATTTATCTTGCCACCCTCTTTGTTGCAATGATCCCTGAGCCTTAGGTGTAGGGATTGTGCTGTACATGTTACATATAATTTTTATGTAACTTAATGTTACTTAAAAATCCAAATAAAATAGGTATTTTCACAGTGATGTTATCAAGATTGATTTAAGAAACAGAAACAACAAACATGGCAGAATCATGGAATGCCTGCTAATAAAAACAGATCTCAGTCAAAACTATAGTTGCACTGTGCATGAAGAGATTGCTCAGTGGTTAAGGTTAGTTACTGCTCTTGCAGAGGGTCTAGGTTCCCAGGACCAACATGGTGGCACACAACTATCCATAAATCCAATTCTAGGGGATCCAATGACTTCCACTGACAGTAGGGCTATACACAGTATATATACATGCATGCATGCATGCATGCATGCATGCATACATACATACATACATACATACATACATACATACATACATACATACACCCATGTGCTCTGAGGGGATAATGTTCTGGGTAAGGGAATTTAGGGAGCACATAGTATTTACCTCTGCTAGCCTCTAAGTAGCCTTGAGTTCCATCTCACTCCTTTTTGTGTATTAGAAATTTGATGGTCCATGATGCCAGTCAACAATCTAGACTTGATATACATAACCATCTTATAAGGATATTATTTGAAATCACCCTGACTCGGTGCCAATTGTTGGTTTGAATTGATGTTTACAGCTCTTGTTGAAGCCACCATAATCATCTCTTGAAATATTGTAGGTGTATGGGACAATGGGCTGATAGCTTTGCCCCATTTAGAGGGCTTTAGGTGTTACTCAGTACATTAACCGCTTATTTTGTTGCTTTTCCTGGGCTCCTGCAGGATGATTGTACTTACTCATTTGTATCTGGTTCTTCTTTTCCCTTCCTTGTCATCTGGAGGTTCTCTACTCTTCAGTGTCACTTTCATCTGTTTCTTCGCTATGTCTAGCCAATTGCATTGGCACAAGTTTCCATGGTGGCCTCAGACTACATCCAACCAGTTAAGAATGTTTCATTTGAGTTTCAGTTTCAATTGTTCATGATGCTTTCACCCCTTCTCTGAGTCCTGATTTCTTCTCAAATGGGATTAAATGGTATTTAAACATTCTTTAGTTATTTAAAGCACCACTCAGAAATACATCAAATCCCTTTTTTCATGTTTATTTGTGTCTCTTTTAATCCTTTGTCTCTTTTAATTATAGTTTTATTTATTTTTATTTTCTCTCTCTGTGTGTGTGTGTGTGTGTGTGTGTGTGTGTGTGCTCATATGCTCACATGTGTGGGTGCACTCACCTATGGGTACATGCATGTGTACATGCATGTGGGGGTCAGATGTTAACACTGGGTGTCTTCTTCTATCACTCTCCATTTCATTCACTGAGAAGGAATCTCTTGTGAAGCTGATGCTCACCGATGCAGCTAACCCAACGAGCCAGTTTGCCCTGGGGATCCTCTGCCTTCCCCTTCTAAGTGCTAGGAACATGACTTCTGCACTGGCCTGTTTTATTATTGGGTACTGAGGATGAAAACTCTAGTCTTTATCCTTACAAGTAAGTGCTTTTATCAACCGAGCTTTCTCCACAACCCTGACACACAGATCTCATATGTGAGCCTGAAACCCAATTGGGCAGATTCTACTTAGTGGACATGCATCTCGTGTGATCAAAGGATGCTTTTATGTTTGTTGACTCGATCACTCATGTGCATGGCCTGTCCTGTGAAATCCTGAAGAAATTTAGGAGGCACTTAACTGTGTCCGAGTTGAATAAGATTGAATCTGGGTAGAAGGCTTGGAAGACAGTGGAGACTCAGTATCCCTGGGGACACTAGTAATGAGGGTAGGATGAGATGCTCAAGGTGGTCATGGTGGCATCCAGAGAAACAGTAGCCCCTAAGACACCGGTAGCAGCCAAGAGGCAACTCAGGTGATGGGATGGGCAAATGGAGCATAAAATAGGTACACAGAAAATGGTCCTTCCTTCCATAAAGTACCAGTGCTATGGGACTGTGTTGTTCTGCCATTGCTTTCAACACTTTCCCAAGGACATACATTTCATTTGATTTTGCTTCATTTTTCATTTCTAAAAACTATATATGTATCTATACATACATACATACATACATACATACATACATACATACATACTGAGGGTTGAAGTCATGATTTAGTCATGTCCTAATTAAGTGAAAACTGTCACTGGTGCTTTCCAAAGGGACCTCCATGCTAACCTGTTGCTTTTTGTTTCCTGGTAGAACGTCCACCCTTGGCCTCTCCTTCGGAGCTGCGTTTCTCTCCCTCATCTTCATCCTCTTTGTCTGCTTCGCTGGACAGCTTTTGGTAGGTGCTTCAGATATAGAACTTCTTTGGAAAGTGTGTTAATTGTGTCAAAATAGCTTCAGTGTTTCAGAAGCAAGGGTGTTGCTCACTGAAATTTGAAGAGCTGTGGTTTCTAGCATCCTTCAGGCCAGTGGGAGAGATGCCTCAGGTACAAACTGAAGTAATCTCAGAGATAACGAATACAGTTGTTTAACAGCTATTACCATGTCAGATGGCTTTTCCCACTGGAGGTGGGGCCTCACTCTATAGCTCAGGCTGACCTCCCACTTACCATCCTCTCCAGCTTCCCAAATAGCTGGGGAAATGGATATAAACCACTGCACCCAACAAAAACGTTGGGCATCACTTCATAAGTCTCATCTGTTTGTCAACTGTTTTTAAATCATCTCTGAGTTTCAGACTACTTGTAGCAGTGAATGCAAGTATGAGAAGGTTTTTATGTAAAGGGCAATTAAAATATTTTTAAATACAACTTTTAAATCTAGTTTGAAGACATTAAAAAGCTGGAAGCTAACAAATGGAAACACACCATGTATTTGTGTTTGAAGCCAACCACTGTACAGTTTCATAATTTACATGCTAGCTAAACACTAGTTAGGAACATAAAAATTATCTTTTCATTTGTTTGCATAGTAAGCAAGTGTCGCTAGCTGGCCAGAGCACTGTGAGAACTATCTTGGAAAGCCAACAAAACAATATAATATATAAGTCGGTGTTTCATTTCACTGAACACAAGTGAAAATAGGAGATGCTACCCAAACTGAGCACCAAGCATGCATGTGGTACACAGACATTTATGCAGGCAAAGCTTCCATGGACATATAATACTCACTGTGAGAATACACATGGTTTTCCATGACCCACAGTCTTCCCTGTATGGAAAAGCACACAGACTCACTCTTCTCCTTGTGCCCCAGAGCCTACTGCAGCCCACTTTTCTGGCTTTCAGCACTAGAACCTTCACTGTGGCTCCACTACAAATCCCGCTCTGTTCTAAAAATAATAGTTTACACCCCTGTGCCCAAGAAGCTGTGTTTGCCATTGACATGGAGATGGGGCATGGAGGATACTGGCTCTGTTACTTTCCAGAAAATACGATGATCCTTCTTATGCCTCCCTTTTGGCCTCAGAGACTCCAGCCTCTTTATTATTAATAACATAGCTCTTAATCCCCCTGTTCTAAAACTGTGGACTCCCAAGTTCTATCAAGATGAAATTAACAGTTCCCCATTACCACCACCCTTCCTGTGGGCTTCCAAAACCCTGGTACCTACTTGCCACTCAATAGCAAGTTCTCTGTGACTCTCTGGTGTCTCTGAGAAAATTTCAAAGATGCAAATGAACCAGTGTCTGCCTCCCCCTTGAAAGACTGTAACGTGCCAGGGATTGCAAAGGCTAAACTTGAAGACATTTGTCTTTTTATTTACTTGGAAAATTAGTATACAGAAAGGAACAGATTTCCTTAGTACATTTTTATACATGGATTGCTCTAGATTCCTCCTCCCCTGCTCAGCACCCTCATCTCTCCCTCACTGGATCCCTTCCATCCCCAGTGTTATCCTCTCTATTTTCATGTCTCATATATTTTGTTGCCTGCCCCCAACCCACTCCTTAAAAGTAGCCCCCCCAACTCATGTTTCTTTCATAGTTTCAAGGCCTATACTTGTTTTCACTACCACATAAATATACACCTGCAGTCCTAGCATCTGAAAGGGAGAGATCACTACAAGTTCAAGGCCAGCTTGGTCAACATAGTGAGTTCCAGGACAGTCAGGGTTACAAAATAAGACCCTGTCTCAAAATGTAAATTAAGATCTCTAATCTGAATATGAGCGAGATCATGTGTTATTTGTGTTTCTGAGTCTGGGATACTGTATTTAATATAATTTTCAGACATATCATATTCCCTTCAAATTTCATAATTTCTTTATTGCTGAATAAAATGTCATTGTGTGTGTATCCATTCTTACTGGTCACTCCTACATTTATGGGTACCCAAACTGATTTCATTTCCTTGCTGTGTGACTACCACAGCAACAAACATGGTTGTGCAAATAACTCTGGGGTGTATGCCCAGGAGTGGTATATCTGGGTAATACAGCAGTTCTATGTTTAGTGTTTTGAAAAACCTCCAAACTAATCTGTGTTGGCTGCACCATCTCACAATCCCACCAGCAATGAATAAGAGTTCCTCTTTCCCAACATGTGTTGCCATTTGTTCTCTTGATAGACACTCCAACTAGAGTAAGATCTCTCTCATCATGACTATAGTAGAGTAGATCTCTCACTTGAAAAAAAAAACAAGAAAAAAAGGAACCAAACACTTTAAAAAAAACCTGAAATGCTGAAACTGCAAAGGAGGAATAAAAAACACTTCAAGTTATAGGCATAGACACAAACTTGTGTTAACAGGACTTCAGTAGTAGAGGAGGTAACCCAAGAACTGACAAATGACATTACATGAAACTATGTGAAAGGAAAATATTGGCAGAGGAAACAGCCTGCAGAATGGGATAAAATCCTTGTCAGCTATGGTTCAAATAGACAATTGGTATCCAGAATGTATAAACATGTACAAATTGAACACCAAAAACTATAAACCTGCTAATCAACAAATGAGCCAATGAACTGAATAGATGGTTCTCAGAAGAGGAAGCACAAATGGCTAATAAATATTTTCAAAGTTATTCAACAGCCTTGCCTTCAGGAAAACACGTATTAGGATATTTCTTGAACATTCAATAAAGGGATTCTTGGCTAAGGCTCCCCAGTGTCCATTTGTAATTTCGGGAAGGAATTCTCAACCTAGTAAGGGTTCTTTTGGTGTTCATAGGATTCTGTAATGGTTGTTAAACTGTCACCAGCAAGGGCATTGATAAATGACTGGTTTAGAGAGTGTTGAGTGTGTGTTGTACAATGCCTTACAAATAAAATGGAAAATTGTATTTATCACAGATACTCTATGGTGGTCATGGAAAGATGGTGCCACCAACTGGCTTCTCATTTTCTGGGCCCTGGAAAACGTACTGGTTGCATAAGATTTGATGGGATTTTTAGGGGGAAATGCTGACCACGCCCACTTGGGGGCTGGCACAGGTGATGCTGACCTTGCCTACGTGGTCAGAGTGACAGAGCAAGGCTTTAAATATCAGGCACACATGCATGAAGCTCTCTTTTCCCTCTCCCGCCTGCCTGAACAGGACTGGCTCTGTCACATGAGTACTTCCTAATAAACCATTTGTTTTCAAACTAGTTCTGACTCCTTGCGATCCACTTTAGCTGGTGTCAGAAGTAGTTTTGATTCTGAACCCACAGGTGAGTCTGGCCTTTGGCAGGATTTATTCCCCTGCTGCATCAGTGCCCAGGTAACCTTTCATCTTTCCCTCCCAACCCCCTTGCTGAGAAACACCCATAGCACTAATTGCCACAGAGTCTCTCCGACACACACACGCACACGCACACGCACACGCACACCTACCTACCTCCAAGCCCATTCCAACTGGGCCTAAGAACCTGCTCGTCACTCTCCACCGTTCAGCCCAGCAATGGTTTCTACCCTGTGGCTTCTGTGGCTTGGAACTGAGACAAGCCAGGCCACGGGTTTCCTCCATTTTCAGAAACCCAAGGCTCCTGCCCTTCCGTGTTAGCTTTGCAGCCACAAAGTGCACTGCCCAGCGCACAGCCACGTGGCACCGAATACTGCTCGGCCCCACCAGGAGAGTTCCTTTTTTTCTGCAGGCCTCCAATCCCGCTGCTGCTGCTGGCCCTCACAGAACTGCTGTGAGTCATCCCCCCATACCCGGAACCAATACTGCTCAGTGCCTCGGCTGGTTATGGCCCTGCAGATTCTCCAAAGCCTTTTCCTGCAAACAACAGCCAATCCCTTCCAACCGTTCTAACTTGGTTCAGAAAGCATTTAGATATTTTTCAGGTAGTCTTGAGACGGACCTCACCTCCAGCTCTTGCAGCTGAACACTACTGCTCAGCCACTGCACCATCACAATCGGCAAAACTTCTGTGGTCTTTCATGGAGTTGAAGACAGATAATTATGGTTATAGTTTTCTTTAGTTATTATAAAAGATAAGCTACATATAAGACCTTAGACTCACAAAGATAGGATAGATGATAGAATATTTTCTTTTTTTAATTTTTTAATTAGAAAGATTATTTTACATGTCAATCCCAGGTCCCTCTCCCTTCCCTCCTCCCCTGCCCCCCCCCAAATAACACCCTTTCTGCTCCCCAGGGAGGGTGAGACCTCCCTTGGGGGGGTCAAAGTCTGCCATATCCTTTGGGATAGGGCCTAGGTCAACCCCCTTGTGTCTAAGTTCAGAGAGTATCCCTCCATGTGGGATGGGCTCCCAAAGTCCATTCCTATGCTAAGGATAAGTACTGGTCTACTACAAGCGGCCCCATAGATTTCCGAGGTCTCCTCACCAACACCCACGTTTAGGTGGTCTGGATCAGTCCCATGCTGCCCAGCTATCAGTCTGGGGACCAAGAGCTCTCCCTTGTTTAGGTCAGCTGTTTCTGTGGGTTTCACCAGCCTGGTATGGACCCGTTTGCTCATCAGTCCTCCTTCTTTGCAACTGGATTTCAGTTCAGTTCAGCAGACACCAGCTGTGGGTGTCTGCTTCGACTTCCACCAGCTGCTGGATGAAGGCTATAGGATGGCATATGAATTAGTCATCAATCTCATTATCAGGGGAGGGCATTTAAGGTAGCCTCTCCCCTGTTGCTTAGATTGTTACTTGGTGTCATTTTGTAGCTTTCCAGACATTTCCCTAGTGCCTGATTTCTCTTTAAACCTATAATGTCTCCCTCTATTATAGTATCTCTTATCTTGCTCTCTTGTGTTCTTCCCCCAATTCAACCTCCCTGCCCCATCATATCTTCCTCACCCCTCTGCTTCTCCCCTTCTCATTCTCCTGGTTCCCTCTCCCCTCCCTCCATGCTCCCAATTTGCTCAGGAGATCATGTCCTTTTCCCCTTCTCCAGG